TTTTTTTACTTTGTATTGTGATTTGGGTACAATTTTACAAAGCAGATTAGTTTTACATTTAATAGCTCATATACATTCTATTTCTTGACATTGATTACAACCCCCACCATGTACCAGCTCTCCCCCCGCCCACTTACTCCCTGTGGTTATCCCTTTCCTGTGTCCTGGCCTGTGTGTTCCTGGCTGCCTAGGTTTCCCCCTGTGAAAATGCTGCCCATCTGATCGTTCATGGTTGACTGTTCTAAGGAGTGCATGTCTGTTGTTTGACTGAGCATTGAGCCATGGCAGTGAATCCGATTCCAGGCCTGAAGGGTGACTCGGGGCCATAGTCTCAGGGCTTTCACCAGTCTCTATCCAAGCAGTAATCCGGCTCTTTTTTATGTTTTTGAATTTTGTTCCACATTTTTTTCTCCCACTCTATCCAGGATCCCTAATTTCGATCCCTTTCCGAGGAGTTGGCTGTGGGAGCTGGGCTCCATCTGGTTTTGGTCTCAGGGTCATGTAGGTTATGTAGGCTGAGGTTCCTATGGTCCATTGGTCCCTTGGACAATTGTTTCCACATCTTTGATTTTCTTCACTCTTCTTTGCTCTGGATAGGGAGAGACCAAGAGTTGTGTCTCAGATGGCTGGTCACAAGCTTTTAAGAGCTCAGTCGCTACTCACCAAAGTAGGATGTAGAACAGTGTTTTTGTGTAACATGTTGTACCATCTGAGCTTGATGTCCCCTGGTCCTGAGCCTGCAGGTACAGCAACTCACTCCCTCAAAGTGCTTCGCTGTGGCTAAGAAATTATCCTAACTTTGTCCTCTGTTAGTGCTATAATGTATATGGACATTGTGGTAGTTGTGGTTGTGTGTCAACTTGGCTGGGCCATGGTTTTGAGTGGCTGGGAAGCTGAACGTAGTTATCCCCCATGATGAGATTATAATCACTGTCATGTGGACTCTGTTGTGAGCAGCTAGGGAGCTGCCTTTGGGGGTATGGCTTGCTTCCAGTACATAAGGAGAAGCTTTGGGACAGGTCTCTAGTTTTTGACATTACCGGATCCTGCATTTGGCCAAGTCTTCTTCTCAGCGGCCTGCCACGTTGCCTGCTGATCTTGGGATTGTTCCTGGCCTTGAACTAGTGGCCTGCCATATTATCTGCTGATCTTGGGACTGTGCCATTTTACTTTTCAATCTTGGGTTTGTCAGCCTCAAGAGCCAGGAGCTGCATGAGTCAGAAAAATCCTCTAGCTCTGGTGGGCCCAGAACAGGAGGCAGAGCTCAAGCCCATGGTTAAGGGGCCTTCACCCAGCCCCTACAGCTGGCACTTTGAGTTGGCCTTCTAGCCTCCTAAACTGTAAGAAAATAAATCCCTGTTTGTTAAAGCCATCCATTTGTGGTATGTCTGTTACAGCAGCACTAGAGAACTGAGACAGATATTTTTATAGCACATACAACTACACATGTGGGAATATCATCTGCCAAACCCATGTATGGTCATGAATATATTCCTGTTTGCCGACCCATACTTTTTCTTCTTGCCTGCCTGCCTATATATCCACCCGTAGATTAGTGTTTGTTATCACTGATACTGCAGTACTGTGTATTTACTTTTGTTGTCTGTACCTCTTGTCCACCTCTTTGTCTTCCTTTTCTTTAGTAATATTGTGCTGGCCATGTGATTTTGTTATATTGCCTTTCCCTTCATCCAAATCAACAAATGTCTCTTAACTAGTCAGTTATTTTCCCTCCCGTCCCCGGTAACCAACAAAGAAAATTTCCTTTACTATGTAAACCTTCCCATGACTTTTTATAATGGACTCATATCTGTCCTTCTGTGATTATTTCACTCAACATAATGTTCTCCAAGTTCATTCATATTATGAGATGATTCATGGATTCTTCATCATTCTTTAATATTGCATAATATTCCATTGTGTGTATGTACCAGTTTGGTTATCCATTCATCTGTTGGTGGGTACTTAGGTCACTTCTGTCTCTTTGCTATGGTGAATTGTGCTGCAATGAACATGGATGTGTTGTTACTTGTGTTTTTATCATATCTGATAATCCATTGTTAAAAACTAGGTTCTGCAGTCATGCCCCTATATTTCCTTCTAGTTTTATGGTTTTAAGTCCTTGATCCATTTTGAATTTTTTCGGGTACAGTGTGAAGCATCGATTTATTCTTCTGCATATGGAAATCCAATTTTCCCAACACAATTTACTGAAGAGATTCTTCCTTCCCCACTGAATGTACTCAGCACCCTTATCGAAAATCAGTTGACCATAGCCACTCCTCAGAAGGAAGGTTGGGCAATCTACTTTCCGTAGTGATATCGCCTTGGAAACCCAAGGAGGGGGTAGCTAATGAGTCAGGTCTGACTCGACTGCACGTAACAA